ACACATATTTGCTGAATCTATTGTTTTGAATTACACGTTGTTGAATTACAAACATGCAAGGGTCTATTTTAGACCGCACTTCAGGAGTGTTCTTGGCTTTCTCAATGGCACTGCATTCTCACACTGCAACACTGTCTAGAAATTCCAGTTTTGTGAGAAACTGAGCTGCTGCTGCTCACCAACAATCAGACCTTATTTATTCACAGGTTGTCATTCCTCAGCTGATTACAGCAGTACTGCATATATGAACAATATGTCTTCCCCATTCAGGGAGTTTTGAGAAATACATAATGCTGCAGCACAGCTTAGAAACACAAGTTATTTGTAGGTATATCAAACCAATCTCTTTGGCTTTCCGTAGAATTTAAATTAAATTCAATATCTCAGTCTTATCTTCAGAGAACATAATTTCCAGGACAACTACAGTTCCAAGATAATAACTGTTGTTGACAAGAACAGCACTCCTGGCTATGGAGGCAAGGTACTCTTCTCAGGAGACAACTCAGAGACTTGATTGCTAACAGCAGAATGAAGTTTTCCAAAGACAACGACAAAGTTCACCCATCATCCTATCCCAGCTACAAAGCACTCATTTCACCTTGCCTCCTTCAATCCAAATGTCTGTTTTTAAGAGTAGCCATTTGTTTCTCAGTAATTAACCCCCACACTATGAAAACAAAATGTTTCACATGCTCTTGCCCCTCTGTGGAGGGATACAAGTATAAACAACATGTAATGTGTTCTAGGAGAGCAGAAACTTCCTTGTAACACCCTTTCACTGTGTAATACATAATGCATTACCTCACATATTTAATGTTAAATGTATGCAGTGGTTAGGAAGAGATTCCTAATGCAAATAAACAGCTATGAAACTATGCCAGAAACAATAATTTCTCATTATGAAAGCAAGTTAAATGTACTTTAAAGACCATGTAAGTACTTGGAAATATATTTCCTTTTTTTTCTCCCCATATTAAATGGTACATTCATGCCATCCTCTCACCAGCACCAACCTTTTGCCTCATTCAGATGTGTTTCTTACATGTCTGTGTATCTCTGTTAGTAACTCACACACATTCAAAAGTTGTTAAAATTTGACACATTGCAGACCTTTGGGCTCCCTTGACTCTCAAGCCAGTCACACTAAATGCCTAAATTGTGTTCAGCATCAGAAGTCCCAGAAAGACTTGACAGACCTGCTATAGCTGAGAGTGCAGAGATGGTCTCCTGATTTGTGCAGCATAATCTGCAGGCAGTGCATGCTGGAATAGACAGTTTGCCTGATGCAGTATGGGTGTAATCAACCTCTTTTTTTTTTTTTTTTTTTTTCAGGAAAGCTGGTAAAAGCTAATACCAGTTGTTGCACTTTTGGGGAAGTAACAGACAGCATTCAAATTCAAGCATAGAAAAGTTTTGTTCATAACTGTACTTGTATTGCAGGTTCTTCTTCATGTCCAGTAAAAGCACTATTAATATTACATTCTGAAATGTTGCAGGACCAATTTATGCCCTGCATAAAGCAATCTCAAAGGACCACACTATTTTATTACTGTTAGTGAATTTTGCTCATGTCTGTTTTCCAATTTGCCAAAACAATTTGCAAAAGGTAAAGGCACAATACAGCAGTGATTATGACTGTCTTCAGTTTATTGGTTGTGTGGTGCCTACAAAGCAACTCATTTGGGGTGTCCTCATGGGATAATTTCAGAACTATCATCCTTGGTTAGCTTGAAACAGAAGAATTTTCAAGTGGTACTGGGAATTTTTTTCATAAGACTTATCTCTGTAATCTCTTTTTCTCCTAGTATTTGATGAGCATTGTTGATGGGGTTGTACAATAGTGTTCTTGTGACTTACAGCTGTGTTTTTCAAATGAATATTTGTCTTGGATTCTCCGTGGAATCTCTCAGCAGCTTTTATTGATGTTTCTTGTAAATGTTAAACACTACATCAATTCTTTGACTTTCTGCACCATCATGTACTGCTGATAACCAGGTACTTGTTAACTTTGTTTATTCTTTGGATCACACTCATTCCATCAGTGACAGATGGCCTGCTGTGGTTTCAGTGCGATTTGCATTCCACACAGTCCCTCTACCAAAGTTGCCTGCTTTCTTCTTCAGAGTGATCTATCCTTTCTTGTCAGTGGGTAATGAATAAGACATACTGAGTATGCCTGCTTGGAGCAACACTTTTTAAAAAAAATTTTGTTGTTGTTGTTATATCCTTATCTGTTTTGAATCTTACTATTTAGAGATCCTTGCTGTTCCTGCTCTTCTTTGGTGATTCCTTGGTGAAAGAAAATACTCTTTCTGTAAGTCCACTAAGGAAATTTCTTTATGAAACAATCACTCTTAACATGATTTAAAAAAATGCAACGCTGCTTACCTACTTTATGTGCTTTTAGGAGGTCATCAATACCATCTGGCAGGACTGGCTGATAAGCTGACAAGACCTATTGGTCATTATTGATTTGCTTTATCTTAAGAATTTCAAGCAAGTCTTCAATACCTGGCCTTTTAAAAGTCTAATCATCTGTACTTGTTCAGATATTCACTCAGATACATACTCTGTTCTGGAGATCCTTGGCTGTTTTGTGTCTCTCAGCTATCTTTTACTAATATTTTGATGGTCAGCAGCAAGACAGTATTCAGCTACAAACAAAATCTCTTTGAACTAAATTGACTTGAAACTAAATCCCTTTAACCCCCTGCAGTCTGGAAGACTGAGTGGACTTGTTCAGCTGAGCTGATGTAATGGAAAGCAGGAAGGTCCTGCTGCCCATTCCCTTAAGCAGTTAGTGTTTTTTGTTTAACCATATTCATTTCACATTTGCAAGGAGTTTAATTGTCTGTCCATTTACCTTTCAGAAATGGCTCCTCATGAGGTCAGGAGAGCACTGTGGCTGGTACAGGAAGGAGTAGCAGTAGATAGTCATAGTCCAGAAAGAAGAGAGCAGGACAATGCCTTTGGTAGCAGTCACTTTAGAGCCACAAAGCTACAGCAGGAAACTATACCTTGAAAGTGTGATTTTTTTATTGTTAACATAACAGTATGTTCTAATGTTCAATATGTTCTAATTCTGTGCTGTTTGTCTTCCCCATGTCACACATTCCCAACTCCTTCCTTATTTTGGCTCCAGCAGTTCTGTGGTGAGTTGAATCAACCTGGTTGCTGATCAACACTTTGCTTACCTGAGAACTCATAATTTCTCTGTGTGTGTGTTAATTTTCAGGTGGATCTGACTCACCCTTTGGTTGCATGATTACTGGAACTGGTGCAAGAGAGGTAATGTAAATACCTGTAGAGGAGGGGCCAAAACCTTTTTTTTCTAGCTGGAGATCAGTCTTACATCAGTTTGAGTCAGTCACGAGGCTGTAGTCAGACAAACTCTTAAAGCTGAAACTGTTGTCAGAAGAAACAGTCCTGCCTCCCTGCCCAGTGAATGCAATCTTTCCCAGGCCTGTGCCACCTCCATCTGATATTGATCTGGTTCACCATGCAACACAGCTGGCTGTATGGCTGCAGGATGATCAGAACAATGAGGTGAGTGATTTGATAACCAGTTTTTCAGGTTCACACCTCAGGCCAACTCCCAGGCCTGGCCCTGCCTGCAGCAGGTTGGAGGCTGGAGGGATGGAGGCACCATCTCCATCAGGGGCTCCTGAGCTGGGCATGAAGTGTCAAAGTACAGCTGCACTCCTGGATTTCCTGGCCCTAAACTGACAGACTCTCACAGCAGGAACCTCACCAGGCTTCCAGGCACTGGCAAGTACCCCATGGGCAAAGCTGGCCAGGGCCGTGGCAAGCGAGCCAGTGGAGATGGCCAGGGCTGTGGTGCCTCACTGTGATGTGAGGGGGGCTCTCCCCTGGGAGCCATTGCCCCAAAACCAGCGCTGCACATGGACACCTCCTGATTGATGTGGCACTTCGGCAGCGGGGATCACCTCACCCCACACTGTGCTGGCACTGATGCTCACTCACATCCTTAGGTGGCAGGTCCCTGTGGGCACACAAAGCCCCTGCTCTTGACCTCCTCCTCTCTCCCATCCCCCAGAGCAGCTGCCCCGTGGAGCCACCATGCAGGGTGACCCTGCTGAGGCCACATCTGCAGTGCTGTGTCCAGTTCTGGGCTCCGCAGCACAAGAGAGACGTGGAGCTCCTGGGCTGGGTCCAGTGGAGAGCTACGGCTATGGTTAAAGGACTGGAAAATCTCTCTCAGGAGGAAAGGCTGACGGAGCTGGGTCTGTCCCGCCTGGAGAAAAGCTGACTGAGAGGAGACCTCACCAATGTGTATAAATATCTAAAGGAGGGGTGTCAGAGGATGGAGCCAGGCCCTTCTCGGTGGTGCCACGGCAGAAACTGATGCACAGAAGTTCCACACGAACATGAGGAAGAAAGAACTTTACTGTGCAGCGACCACACTCTGGAACAAGTTGCCCAGAGGGTATGGAGTCCCGCTCACTGCAGACATCCAGGAGCGCTCCGGCCGCACTCCTGCTCTGCGGGATGGTCCTGCCGGGCCCGCTGCCGGGCCCGCTGCCGGACCCGCTGCCGGACCCGCTGTCGCGCCCGCTGTCGCCGCGGTCCCCCCGGCCTGACCCCCTCGGGCACGCCGCGCCTCCCGCCCCAGGCCACGCCCCCGCCCCAA